TAGAAAATAACATTTCAGATTGAAAGCTCATATGAACCTAAAACATCAAATTGATTAATGAGTATTGTAGCCCATAAAAAGAAGAACAAGATAAGAGCTCATCCATGAAGCTTGGACAACGGAGTCACCATAAATCATCGATTGAAGCTCACCCATGTGAAGTTGTGCATTGACAGAAATTTCCAAACTTCACGAGCATTTTTAGCCATTGGATGATCAAACAATGATGAGGAGATACCGTTGGATTTCTTATATAAAGAGTTTTCTATACATATATGTTTTACGAAAATCAACGGTCGGATCTTTCACATTATGAACAAAATTTCAAAATCAATTTTTTTATATTTTATGAAATTTAACAATGATTTAACAAAGTTTGAGGCATAGTGTGATGAAATATGCATATTGTTGGAAAGATTGAGTCGAGAACCTCGAAATGATACTTTGTTGATATCCACCAATGTAGGCAGTCGGCAAGTAGCGGCCGCCAAAAGTGAGTGGCGGGTCTGTGGGGGAAATGGTCGGATCTTCATTTCCAATTCATTTCTAATTATACATCAGTATTTTATTAATTAATATCATTTTTAAATACTTAAATGTGAAATTAAATATAATTATTTTCTTTTGTGAATCAAAATAAAATATTAAATTAAAACAAGAATATAATAACAAAGATAATGTTCTCCTACCCACGGTGCTGGGCACGTGTTAATATGTTTAAAAAAATATATAACTAATATGCGTATGACACATAAGCAGTGGACATATGATGATGAACATTCTCGTAATAACAATAACATGTAGATAAGTAGGAAGCAACACACGAACAATATCATACTATACAGAAAATCTATATCGGATGGCTTCCTTATGGAGCCATCTATGATTTTATGTACTGACACATGTCCAATGTGTATTTATTGCAGGACCCATGTCAATACATCATTTGTGAATAACAATGGATGGTTCCATAAGTCGAGCCATCCGATGGCTCCATAACAAAACCGTCATACTATATATATATTTTTAATCGAATGTATTATAGTCGAGAATAGGTAAACGAATTTACAGCTAATCAGCCCAATCTTGATCGATCTAACTCTCGTTTCAGTTTCCTTCTACGTTTCCTTATTATCCTCACTCTTGGTCCTCCAAATCGTTTGAGTTTCAGCCTGGAGTTCGAGGTTTGTGTAGTCTTTTACATATCTAATTGCCATCGTTGAACTTTGAGGAGCTGAATAGTTGTACTTTATCCTTTCAAATTCGTAATAGGGTTTCTTTACTAATGAATTGTACAACTCAACTCAACGTCCACTGATCACTGGAAGTGATGGGGTTGAGAGTTTAAGGGATTCCCCTGTAATAGTTTCCTGTATCGTTTTTCGTCAGTTTATGTATTTGGTTTATTATTGTTGAGCGATTGCAACTCATCTTGTTGTTTGAAGTATTGACCTTCAAGTGTTTGTGAAAAGGTCGGTGTGAACTCGGAAGCATGCCATCGGTCGACAGACTAAGCGTCTTGCCGGATAACATCATCAGTCACATTCTCTCGTTTCTTCCTATCAAGATCTCCGTATCGACCAGTATCCTCGCTAGAAGATGGAGGTTCGTGTGGGTCCACTTCCCGAATCTTGATTTCGACAACATATATTGTAAGTATGGGACGGGATTGTCGGACATCATTGACACGGTTATGTCTAATCCTAGACTGCAGAGCATAAACACTTTCCGCCTCAGATGCAGACATTCTCGTTTAAAGGAGAACAAAGTCGAGAAGTGGTTGGCCGGGCACAGTATCAATATTCTCATTATCTCCCCCAATCTTATGAGGGTTTTGCCTCGAGCCATCTTCACGTGCAAAACCCTTGTTGAGTTGAGGCTCACATCTGGTGTCTTGCCAAGTTTTAGCGGTGAGGACATATCTTTCCCTCGCCTCAAGAAGCTTCATCTCATGGTTGTTCAATTTGAAACTGATGAAAACCTCCCTAAATTGCTTTGTTACTGCCCGGTGCTTGATCATTTGTCCATTGATGGATGCTTGGCTGGCAATTATTATATCTCTTCACCCACAATAAAAATGCTCAAGTTCTCTCCTCGGAGTTCAGCTTCTTCCAATCATGAGGTGGGGATAGATGCTCCCGCACTTGAATATCTACAGCTATGGGTTTGCACGACCTCACATGTCTCAACTTGTGCACTAACTTCCTTAGTTGAGGCAGACATTGCCATTTATCATCCATCTTGTCATGAGGATGAGACCTATCGTCTTTCAGTGTTGGATTTTGTCAATCGCCTCTGCAAAGTGAAGAGGCTAAAACTGTCAATTAATGTGCCGGTAACTTAGTCACCTTTGTCATAATCTGTTTTCATACTCTGCATTTCTACTAATAACTTAAGCTGGTTGTTTTCAGTTGCCTTGTAGGATAAGATCAATCTCAAGGTTTGATAATTGTACCCGGCTTGGGTTGAACGATCCGCGTCTTCTCATGAAAATCTTGGAGAGGGCTGACAATCTTGAAGTTCTAGTCCTCTTTAGGGTTAGTTAAACTAAAAAATGTAACCTTTAGCCTCTGCTTCTTTTTTGTTTGCCTTTGTCTTCGAGTCTGATATGGTAACTGTTCTTATCAGGGTTATTCATATCACGGATTCTGGGAGGAGCCCGAACAAGTGCCAAGATGCCTGTTATCTCGTCTAGCAATGGTAAGAATTGATGAATTTGATTGCAGGGAGTCCGAGTTTAGCACGGTGAGGTATTTTTTAAAGAATGCCGAAGTGTTGAAAAGGATGGAAGTACACACGACCAAGTACATTGATTTAGACTTGGCGATGAAGCTCAATGCGCTCCAAAAGATTGCGCTGTTTAAACGAGGATCAAAGGAATGTGAGCTTGCCTTGTCATGAGAGACGTTGTACTGATGTCCAATATTCAACCAAACAAAACTTATTTAGTTAGCTTTATGAGCTTTTTCGTATTTATATAAAATTTTGTTTGGTAATATGGGCTTTCATTGGTAGCTTGTTAAAAAAGCTATTTAGAAAATATCGTTTTTCAAAAGAGGCTCGACAACGTGTCAGGTTGCTTTCCTTGTAGCTTTTTTTATTCGACAGTAGACGTAAGCTTTATGTCTTGATGCCCGTTATTCTGCAACTAAATGTTCGTTTACTGCTATGGTCGATGCATTTTGTCTTGCTTATGTTTTTTTTACTATTTTGTGGACAATAAAAGATACAGAAATTAGGCATGAAATCTGTCAAGTGGAGAGAGATTATTGTTGTGTATTTGACATTCAACCAAACAAAACAATGTTGCTTCAGCTAGTTCTCTCTTGGAAAGTGACTTCATATATGGTTTTGTGTAACCATATCTTAAAGTATGTAAATGTTTTCTGGAGAATAAATAGGAAAAAGATGAAAAGAGAAATAGAGCAAAACGCTTAAATTAGACATTTATGATTTTAAAAAAAGGAAGTTGTTTGCATAGAAAAATGAAGTTAAATAGTAGAAAATAATTTGGTGGAAGAAATGTTTTTGGGATTGTGATTGTATGTTAGATACAATAAACATAAATAATTAATAATTCAAAATATGAATTATAAATAATTTTTATTATTTAACTATGTTGGTAAAAATGATGTGAAACAAAAGTAAAATTACATGAATAGTGAATTTTTTTATTTAAAAAAATAAAAGTTACATTCAATAACTGAATAACAATTGGGATGAAAAAAAAAAA